CTGGGGTCCCTGAGCTCCCCCTTGTTCAGGTCAGCTGATTCTGTGGGTTTCACCAGCCTGGTCTTGAGCCCATTACTCATCACTCCTCCTTCTCTGCAACTGGGTTCCAGGAGTTCAGTTCAGTGTCTAGCTGTGGGTGTCTGCCTCTGCTTCCATCAAACACTGGATGAAGGCTCTAGGATGGCATATAAGGTAGTCAGCAGTCTCATTATCAAGGAAGGGTATTTAAAGTAGCCTCTCCACTATTAGATTGCCAATTGGTGTTATCCTTGTAGATCTCTGGACATCTTCCTAATGCCAGATTTCTCTTTAAACCTATAATGGTTCCCTCTATTATGATATCTCTTATCTTGCTCTCCTCTATTCTACCCCTGACTCAACCTTCCTGATCCCCCGTGTCCTCCTCTTCTCCCCCTCTCTTTCTTCCAGCTCCCTCTCCCCTCCCCCCACGCTCCCAATTTGCTCAGGAGACTCTCTAACATTCCCCTTCTCATGGGTACCATGCATGTCTCTCTTAAGGTCCTCCCTGTTTCCCAGACTCTCTGGCGGCGGGATTGTAGGCTGGCAATCCCCTGCTCCATGTCTGAAATCCATATATGAGTGAGTACATACCATGTTTGTCTTTTTGTGACTGGGTTACCTCACTCAGGATGGTTTCTTCTAGTGCCATCCATTTGCCTGCAAATTTCAAGATTCCATTGTTTTCTTTCTCCACTGAGTAGTACTCCATTGTGTAAATGTACCACATTTTCTCTATCCATTCTTCAGTTGAGGGGCATCTATGTTGCTTCCAGGTTCTGGCTATTACAAATAGTGCTGCTATGAACATAGTTAAACAGATGTCTTTATTGTATGAATGTGCATCTTTTGGGTATATGCCTAAGAGTGGAATTGCTGGGTCTTGTGGTAGACTGATTCCCATTTTCTTGAGGAGTCGCCATACTGATTTCCAATCTTCTTTGAATTTCTGGTAGAATTCTGCACTGAAACCATCTGGCCCTGGGCTTTTTTGGTTAGGAGACTTTTGATGACTGCTTCTATTTCCTTAGGGGTCATAGGTCTATTTAAATTGTATATCTGTTCTTGATTTAATTTTGGTAGTGATATCTATCCAGAAAATCATCCATTTCCTTTAAATTTTCTAATTTTGTGGAGTACAGGTTTTCATAGTATGACCTGAAGATTCTCTGAATTTCCCCCGTATCTGTTGTTATGTCCCCCTTCTCATTTCTGATTTTGTTAATTTGCATGTTCTTTCTCTGCCTTTTGGTTAGGTTGGATAAAGGTTAGTCTATCTTGTTGACTTTCTCAAAGAACCAACTCTTTGTTTCATTGATTCTTGGCATTGTTTTCTTTGTTTCTACTTTATTGATTTCAGCTCTCCATTTGATTATTTCCTGGTGTCTACTCCTCCTGGGTGAGTTTGCTTCTTTTTGTTCTAGAGCTCTCGGGTGTTCTGTTAATTCTCTAGTGTGACTATTTTCCAGATTCTTCATGTGGGCATTTAGTACTATGAACTTTCCTCTTAGCACTGCTTTTAGAGTGTTCCATAGGTTTGGGTATGTTGTGCCTTCATTTTCATTGAATTCTAGGAAGTCTTTGATTTCTTTATTTTTTCATTCACCCAGGAGTGATGCAATTGAGCATTGTTCAATTTCCATGAGTTTGTGGGGTTTCTGCAATTTGTGTGGTTGAATTCTAATTTTAAGCCATGGTGGTCTGATAAGATATAGGGGATTATTCCAATTTTTTTGTATCTGTTGAGGTTTGCTTTATTGCCCAGTATGTGGTTGATTTTAGAGAAGGTTCCATGTGGTGCTGAAAAGAAGGTACATTCTTTTGTGTTTGGATAGAATGTTCTATAGATGTCTGTTAAACCCAAATGGATCATAACTTCTGTTAGTTCTTTTGTTTCTTTGTTAAGCTTCTGTCTGGTAGTCCTGTCTAGTGGTGAAAGCGGGGTTTAATGTGTGATTTGAATTTTCTTTTATGAATGTGGGTGCCTTTGTATTTGGGGCATAGATGTTCAGAACTGAGACTTCATCCTGATGGATTTTTCCTGTGATGAATATGAAATGACCTTCTTCATCTCTTTTGGTTAATTTTAGTTTGAAGTCTAATTTGTTAGATACTAGGATTGCTAGCTATACCTGCTTGCTATATCTAGGTCCATTTTATTGGAAAATCTTTTCTGAACTCTACTCTGAGCATCTGCCTTTGAAGTTGAGGTGTGTTTCTTGTATGCAGCAGAAGGATGGATTCTGTCTTTGTATCCATTCTGTTAGCCTGTCCCTTTTTATAGGCAAATCAAGACCATTGATATAAAAGGATATTAATGACCCTTGTTGATTCTTGTTTTGGATTTGTTGTTGTTGGTGGTATTGTGTGTGTTCCCCGTCCCCTTTTGGTAGGATTTTGGTAATGTGGGATTATCTATTGCCTATGTTTTTGTGAGTGTAGTTAACTTCTTTGGGTTGGAGTTTTCCTCCAAGAAGTTTCTGTAGGGCTGGATGTGTGGATATGTATTGTGTAAAGCTGGTTTTGTCCTGGAATATCTTGTTTTCTCCATCTATAGTGATAGGTATAGTAGTCTGGGTTGGAATTTGTGGTCTCTTAGTGTTTGCAGAACATCTCTCCAGGACCTTCTGGCTTTCAGTTTCCATGGAGAAGTCAGGAGTAATTCTAATAAGTCTGCCTTTATATGTTACTTGGTCTTTTTCTTTTGCTACTCTTAATATTCTTTCTTTATTCTGTATGTTTGGTGTTTTAAATATTATCTGGCGAGGGGACTTTCGTTTTTGGTCCAGTCTATTTGGTGTTCTGTAAGCTTCTTGTACTTTT